TAATAAATCTAAAATCTTCCTGCTACTAATTCGAAACATTGGCCTCTGTTTAATTTTAAATTAACGTAATCTATATGAATTTCAAGAGTTGAGATCATGAGTCAATTGAAGCTAGACTACCATGCAAAACCCGGAAGTACTAGACTGCCTTTTCGTTCTATTGTGAGACTCCTCAACATTGCGTACAATAGGACGAAACGGTTGCCCAGTGCTTCCAGGTTTTTCATGGTGATCTAGCTTCAGTTGACTCATGTTCTCAACTATTGAAATTACTATAATATCCACTAAACCCCCTTCTGATACTAATCTATATGAGTTTATTCACTTAAATTTGAAGTATACTTAATTGTGAAGGCTAGCGATACCATTCCAGTTACTAAGACTGTCATAGATAAAGCAGAGTACAAACCTATGATTTATCTGTTAAAAGTTGTGTATTTTAACTATTACGTCACTGAATCATGAGCATTTATTTGTATAATATATTTGAAAATGATTTTCATGAGATCTGAACTCTCATAAAATAACCATTTATAGGTGATCTGTGAATACAAGCAATATAAAAGTGTCTACACAATAAGCCTATATCATCAATAAAGAGTAACTAAGACAGTTCTGTGAAAATTAGCAAGAGAATCACAGGAGACAAATGATAATTAATATAACGCTATAATCTAGTGATAGAAACTGTAGTTATTTTTAAAGTGGTTAATGTCAGTAGAATCAAGCGTTTTGACAAAACAACATTAACATTAACACCATTGGATGCCGGCTCAGTGGTCTAGTGGTTAAGCGCTCACGTGCGAAAACAGCAGGTCCTGGGTTCAAACCTCGCGGTGGCGAGGTTGTGGATGTGCACTGCTGAGGAGTCCCACAATAGGACGGAACGGCCATCTAGTGCTTACAGGTCTCCCATAGTGGTCTAGCTTCAACTGACTCATGATCTTAACCATTAAAGACAATATTTACTATTTATTCCACCCGGAATGATATGACTTTCATGTGTTTATTTTTAAACAAAAAAGTAATTTTTATTTATCATATTATAGATGGAATATTCAAACAATAAACTAGGCTTAATGTATAATTCTGCCTTTATATGACGTTCCTTTCCCTGTATAATAGATATTTCAAGGTCGATCTTGATTGTGTTGCGTCAGGAGAAACACATTTATCCAGTAGGGTTCGTTGTGATCAGCCCGTTATGTTTATCTATTCGTTCACCTATATTGTGAGTAGGATTGATGACTTTCTAAATAGCGATGGAGACATTCAATAGTAAATAATAGCCAAGACCTTAACACTTACTGATCCTTGAGCTCCTTTCAACCTAGTAACCAATTAGAAGATGATTGTAAAAAGCAGACCAATTCTCTATTGTACTTAATTCAATCATAACACAAAAACTCATACAATAATATGCGTAAAATATTTGACCACACAGCAACACAATTAAGAAATCATGATATGTACATAACTCAGTCATAAATGATACAAAACCAGAGTGATGCTGGAATAATTAATCAGTAATAAATCTGGGACGATAAAACATGTGACAACGTTTTGTAGGTCAAATGAAAGTTTAGAAATAAGCGGATATAAAAAAAACAGATCAGCCTAAGCGTTTACTAATTATACAATAGTAATATTAATGATAATAATAATCCTTCATATGATAGTCTCACAAGTAATACTGTCACATTGTACAGACTGAATTAAATACGATATGATCTCTTTTTCTTTCAAGATCTTCCTAACTGTTGTAAATGAAATAAATGAAACTGGTATAGCCACTATATAGGGATTCATATAGTTTAATACAATAAAGAAGACAAGATTGCAAATGAAGATCATATTATGCCCTATAACAGTAAATAAGAGAAAAAAAACAGACCTAACCACTGAAAAATAACATACAGTAGACAAAACACTTTTAATTTCTTATATTTGGAGTTAATGTGCATCGAATGATGGCAGTTCGTCAGCCATCAGTTGAGATGGTTGACACACATATTACATATTCCCAACCACCGACTGCCCCGACGAGCGATGTTTTATGATTTAGGAGTAGGTTGGAAGAAAACTAGAGGCGGACACACAAAAACATGCCATAAATCCATGAAGTCAGTGAAAAGTGGACTGAGCCTTGTTGGTAGGTGTAGACTACCTGGTTGGCATTCGCGAAATGATAGCAACCGATGGTTAGAGACCTTGAATGACATGGTTCAAAATCGTTTACAATGGTGCATATGCATCCACTCTTTGTGTTCTCCAAAATTCTAATCTTCTGAATTCTTCATATCCATTTCTTGTTTTTCTCCTTCCAGACTTATTTCACTGGATTATACTCCTTGAATAACATGTTCAAAGCCTAATGCTTCCGATTACTGCTTATACTTTTACTACCTCTACCGTTATGGGATTTGAATCGACAATTGTATCTGTGTGTTGATGTGGTATGGCAACTTGAACTGATGTACGTACGTACGAATTTCTACGTTGTTGCTGAATAACCAACTGAGCTAGAATGACACAGGTACTCAATGCTACATAATTTCTATTAGCTGTTTATCGATGGTTCAATTGTAAACATAATAAAGATTGAAATTTGCTAACATATGAACACATTTTTAATCATGTTATTGATTTGAAATCGGTGAACATAAAGTATACGAACGACCTTGACCTACTTTTTAGCCGAACCGACAACAGCTTTCAACTATGAAACATTTTAGGATGAAATTATAATGCATGAACAGATTGAACATGAATGATAAACTTTTGTATGTGATCTATTATTATCATCGTTATTTTCATTACATTAGTTATCATAGAAGGAAGGCTTTTGTGGTAAAAGTATAATTTAAGAACAAATCAATCATAATCGAGAATAAGACTTTTAGATCTTCATGCGAAATTCAATCATCGTGTAAAAGGAGCAGTAGAAATACAATAAAAGTATACTATATAGATGACCTTAGACGACTTATCAGTCAGTCAGGAATCACTACCTAGTTATGAAACAACTAACAATACAAAGCAATGAAATAACAGTGGAATAATAGCTTTGATCTGAATAATTAACCGTCACAAGACAAATCATCCATTGTGATAAAAAAAGGCGGCACGATCATACATATATCTATATATTAGGAGACGTGCTAGTGTTGTGAGTTAAGTTTATAACCCCACAAAATTTTCATGACCAACTGATATCATTTGTGATATCTAAAGGTTAGAGTTAGGTATTAAGAGTTAATCTGCATCAATAGGCCTCAGTATACAAAAAGGATGAAGTAAGATCTTCAAATACGACACGGAGAACACCAACTCAGTCACACTTCATGGAGAAACTCTGGAAGATGTGGAATCTTTCATGTACCTGGGAAGCATCATTGATGAACAAAGAGGATCGAATGCGGACGTAAATGTGAGGATTGGCAAAGCAAGGACAGCATTCCTACAATTGAAGAACATGTAAAACTCAAAGCAACTATCAACCAATATCAAAGTCAGAATCTTTAATATGAACGTCAATATAGTTCTGTTGTATAGGACTGAATCTTCTAGAACTACTACAACCATCATAAAGAAGGTACAAAAATCTATAAACATTTTTCTACGCAAGATACTCAATATCCGCTGACCTGATACCATCAGCAACAGCCTGCAGTGAGAGAGAATAAACTGACTTCCAGATGGAGAGGAAATAAGGAAAACATGTTGGAAGTGGATAGGACATACATTGAGGAAATCACTAAAGTGAATCTCGAGGCAAGCGCTAACTTGAAATCCTGAATGGAAACGGAAAACAGGAAGGCTGAAAAACACACTGCGTCGAGAAATGGAAGCAGATATGAAAAAAAGCAACTGGAAAGGATTCCTCAGAACAGAATTGGATAGAGAATGCTGGTGAGTAACAGGAGTAACAGGCTTAAGTAAGTAAGTAATTAAGAGTTAAACTAGAATTTTGAATTAGGGTCAGGGTTAATACTAAATATATTTTGTTATATCCCAATGAGTAGAAAAATTGTATTTCTGACGTTTCGTGACTTAATGTAAGCCACTTCTTCAGAGTAAATAAATAACCGACATTAAATTAACACGCCAGTCAATGGTTACATACGTTAGATAAAAATGATTTTAGAAGAAGTGTATGTTGCTCAGATACTGACGTGTTAGAATCAGAAGAGTAAAATTTGGTTAGTACGAAAATTAACCAGTAAGATATTACAAATATTTATTCACGTATTAACTTACAGATTAATTAATAATGAATATTATCGTATAAATTATACAAATATAACTACTGATCTAACTGTAATTCACTCACTTATTTCCGAAGTCAAATAAGTCCATATCATCAGACTATGTGTTCTTACAACACCTTGTCAGGTTTGAGTCCTTCAGTAACAAACACAAATTAGTTAAACATTCCTCAGATAGATGACATTGACAGACATAACAGATACATTCACTCTTTATTTCGCTCTAAACCTTGGTTTCTCCGTTCATATCTTTCCACTCCTCTTTTAGCTAACATAGAATAGATGAAATATGGCTAGTATTGGAACCCAAGGATAATGTTCTGTCCTATCTATGACTCGTCAACTGGATGTATTTGCACCCCAGAGTTGATGTGAACTCCAAGACTCAAATTCAATACCATTCAATTTAAGGGTTAATAACGGAATTCAAGATATTTGTTTCATACAATTTATAATTCATCAGCTGGATATCTTAAATAGTTGAATTCATGAGTCAAATGAAGCCAGACAACCATAGAAAACCTGGAAGCACTTGACGGCCGTTCCGTCCTACTATAGGACTCCTCAGCAGCACGCATCCATGATCCTGCCTCCTTCGGCGAGATTTGAAACCAGGACTGATCAGTTTCGCGCTCGAGTGCTTAACCATCAAACCAGTGAACCAGCCGGCATTCAACGGTGTCAATATCTAACTTCAATCTCTTCTGATAATTATTTAAAAGAGTTACTCACCAAATAACCTCTCCAATATGATTGTAATTTAATTGCTGCTTCTTCATCTGTCCATTGTAAACTAAGTGGTAATGGTTTACGTGGATGTTTTTTCAATTCTTCAATAACCCATGGTATATTTAATATGTGTTGTACATTTTTACGATCATAATCTTCTTTCATGTATAGATTATTTTTATATAAATAAAATGTTAAAAAATCCAATCCATTGAATCCGAAACGTTTTTTCTTGAAATTTTCAAAATAAAGTAATACAATTATGTGTTTAAATGAGATATTCAGGGGGAAAAACAAAGCAAATTAAAATTCTTTTCAGACAGAATACATAAACAATCGTACAAGGAGGCACCAAACAGATATGCGCCACATAAATCATTCGATTTGTGTGATGGCTGGAATATTACACGGGTGCCCATATCGAAGCAGGTGGTTATGTTAAGAGGCCACACCCGGAGCCTTCGATCTAAAGGTCTAATTCAAAAGGCAATGGAGCAACGTAAGGAGAGACAGTCCCAAGATAGCCGGTCACTAATAATTGGTTCATATGCCATTTGTTCCTTCAGGATATTGGGGCCTATGTGCACCATTGGTTTGGAATCAGGGTTTTACAACTTTCTTAAATAGATCCTCTATATCCACCAACCCGGTTGAGGCGCCGGACATTCGCTTCTCGTCCTCTCATTTTCGTAAACAACAGACCCGCCATGAGAAGTTAGTGAGTAGGACTTGCCTGGCAGTGGCTTTATACACGTGGCTGTGTGAGAGCATTCCGAGAGGGAGAGCTGACTCTCTGCACTTTCAGCCGTACCAGGGCATTCGAGGGGCATAAAACAAAAAAACAACTTCCGTTGATAAAGAAAACTAATTATTTCCATAAATCAGTCAATTTTTATAGGGTTCAATGTTTCATCTAAACTTATGAAGATATTTTCAGTAAATAAATGGAATTCATACAACTACAAATAAGTATTAAATTCACTTGGTATTGTTTGATTTGTATCTTCCCATTGAGGTTTAAGACTACAATTGATCAGTCTGTTATTGGCATATGTGCATACTGTGCGTATGCCTCGATATTGTCCCAGAGTGAACATTAAATCTGAGATGCAAATACATCCAGCTGACGAGTCCCAAATAGGACGAAACGCTCGTCCTGGATTCCACTGCTAGCCACTATCCATTATTGCTTACAAAAATACACATAAATATTAGTTTTCATTTTTGGACAATTCGTCATTTTGTGATATTCTATGATCAATTCTTCATTACCAAATAGTAACAACCATCTTATAACCATTCACTATTAATCAAGTGATGAATATTAAAATGATAAATTCCTAAAGTTTGTTTCATAATAATTGACCATTATCGCTAGTTTATTGAAGTTGGATATGTATGTCATTAGATATGACCACAATAGTATAATGATAACAAAAAAAATTACACCATCAACATTCACTGTTCTACGTTGAATTTCATATGGATAATGATTGTATTTGTGAAGTGATAAGAAATTCTTAAATTAAAACAAGACAGCTGTCTACTTCTTACTAGTTCTTAACAATTGTCTTGTTAAAGTAAATCTCTTTGATGATATCATCAATTATCTTTCTTTATTTAACTTGAACAAATTCCACAAACTTTTCATTTTGAAACGTATGCATTATTCAAATTGCATGGAACATTTAATTTAGGCAATTCTTCAAACAGATACACTTATTGTATTAATTTTAGATTTCTTATTCTATACAACACACTAAACGATGTCTATGTTGCGTAGAGACAATTATCCACTTCAAACAATAAGTGAATGGTTGTACAAAATCTTGGATGGATTAAACTTAATACCATTGGATGCTAGACCAGTGGTCTATTAGTTAAGCATTCATGTGCGCAAAACTAAAGGTCATGGTTTCGAGTCCCACATACAAGATCGTTGATATGCACTGTTGTGGAGTCTCATACGAAGACGAAACAATCATCCAGTACTTGTAGATTATCAATGGTGGTCTATCTTAAATAGATTCATGAATTCAACTATTAAAGTATCTGGAAATGTTAATCATTTCATATATATATATTCTTTCTTGCTCAATAAATAAAACAGATAATCAATAATTTGAAGGTCATTTTTCTTCTAAACCAATCATAATACACAATTCATGTTAATATAATTTGTTATCTAATTTGATACAATAGACTTTCTATTTATAGATAAGATGATAAATGTTCAATGTAAATTTCTACTCATTTTGTTTGTTTTACGACAGAATTACTTCATGTGATCAAAGTCTATCCTTTCTATTTTATTTAGTGTTACCAGATCTGCAAATGATAGAATCATATTATACTAGTTAAAATCATGATTCAATTGAAACTAGAAAACCATGGAAAACCTGGAAGCATTGGACGGCCGTTTCATCCTAGTATGGGACTTCTCAGTAGTGAGCATCCACAATCCCTCCGGTGAGATTCAGACCCAGGACGTATCGGTCTCGCGCGCGAGCGTTTAACCATTAGACCACTGAGCCGGCCGGCATCCAATGGTGTCAATGTCTAACTTTAACTAATCTACGAAATTGCGCCACCGTACACCATTTTCTTCACTGAGGTGATATTTTACAACAGACCTGGTTGAACTCCACTGGTCACGGCTTCCCACTAGAACTCCAGGAAATGCCTCTTGAAGTCAGTCACTAATGAGCACATGATTATTATCAGGAGTTTTTTAGAATTTCACTAGTGAAATTTCTAAAAATCCCCACAAAACCCCTTCTGATAAAAATCATATCAATCATAGTTCACCTGTATTTACACACAAAATAGAGTATAAGATATTCGTAAGTTACTAGTATTTGATCATAGATGCCTTAGAAATATTACTCGCATCTGTTGGGATCATCGGGTAAGTAATAGTGAGGTTAGATGCAGAGTATTAAGTAATGATGGTAAATCAGTTGATGAGGTTGTGAATCTTCATTGACTGAGATGGTTGGGTGACGTGTTACGTATGCCTGAACATCAATTACTACGACGCTCAATGCTGACTAGTGTTAGGCATGGTTAGAGGAAAGTTAGGGGTGGCCAAACCAAAACGTGGAATCAGTGCTTGAGGTCATTAACTTCGAGTTTGAGCCATGTCAGTAGATGTAGACTACTTGGTTGGGGTCCGCGTGACCATCGTAACCAACAGTTGGAGACTGTATGTGACATGGCTCAGAATCGATCACAATGATGTAGGCGTATACACTCTCTGTCTTCCCCTTATACTATGAGATCAAAATCACTTCATCTTTCTTTCTACAAACTAATTCCTTCTTCCTGTACTATATCCTTACATAAAATCTTTCATTTATATGTTATGCCACTGAGTTAACTGCTTCTATGAATCCGGTGTTCATCTTGGCAACTTGGACCGATGCATACATGTATCTGTTCCTAAGTTGTAACTGAGTGACTGACTGTATTTATACATATATATGTATATACTACAATGCCCTTTTCCTCAAAGCAACACTTCAGTTAGTCAATCAATGAATAAGTTATTCTATTTACTTGATATCTATTATTTTCCTTTTAGAATTTTGAAGATTCATATCGGTGATAATATTAACTATATTTAGATTTCATCTGTTAATAGGGAAACGATCAGTGGAAACTTCAGAATTAATTGTTATGTGAGTTATAAGAGTGAGACTACAATCTATGGACGAACTAATCAGATTTAAGATAACAGATCTTGGATTTTGTCGCGTAATTCATTCATTCATTTGGTTAAATACTATTTTGGCATCATAGTTCATGTCAGTTCAGTTCAGTTCATCATGAAAACATTGAATCTAAATCCTAACCCTAACGTTCAACTGTAAATCGCAATCCTTATTCCCAACAGTAATATATAACCCTCATCTAAACCTAGAAGGTAGGTGGATATTTCAAGGTCATTCTAGCATTGCTCAAAGATCGTCCATAAATTAAAGTACCACGGTCCCGACCGAAGCTGCTACCTTGACGCGGTGGTCGGGCTTGCCTATCGTGATGACCCAACCGAGCTATATTGGCTGGAACATATGTTCCTGTAGGTTCTACCATGCCAGGCAGGTCGATTGGAGAACGGTAAGACTAAAAGCAGCAACTCAAGGTCTGAGGGCGAAGTCGTACTGCTGACTGTAGAGGGGTGTGACAGCAGTAAGGTGTTTCCTTCAGACTACCAGCATGACAGCGATGCTGCCTTCCCACAAGGAGAGGTGGGGTTAGAAAAGGTCGATCCTAAAAATGTCACACCTCACCTTACCTCACGGATTTCCGTCTCCGGCGGTAAGGCCCTTTGAAGAACGGAGCTAACACATTAAAAACCTTCCACGAAAAGGCCGTGCGCGACCGGCCTCAAGCAGTTGTCCCTTGGGCTCTGCGGTCACGCTCCCAGGTAGTCAAGACCAACACTAATCCAATTTCCTTCTCAGGTTCCTCAAGAAATACCCTTCCACGATGTGGGCAGCCGGGAAGTGATATCAGCCCTCATACCCGTAACAGCACACGAGACCAAGTTGGTCACATTCAAATCCTTCCTACACCTCCTAATACCTATCTTATCTCTATGAATAACCCTCCTCACGTCTCTTTATCACCTCGCACCGATAGGGCAAACGATTCGAGTACGTGGGTCGCTATTCCTGGTCTCCTGAAACCACGCTCTAAACTAGCTCTCTTAGAGTGAATCCCAGTAGACAGTCGTTTATGCGCTGTTCGACTGAACGGAGCAGTAAGGATCCGGAAAGATAGGGACACTCGTCGTTGCCTCTTCGTCGTCTCTGCCTATTCTCCCACTGACTGCAGCTCAGATGATGTAAAAGACGAGTTTTACAGAAAGCTTTCGGACCTTCTTCGAAAAGGTAGTAATAGTGGCCGGTGACTTTAATACTCAAGTAGGTAAACTAAGCGATAAGGAAAGACACCTAGGTGGATCTTATGGTGTCGTGGCTAAAAGAACAGATAATGGCGACCGTCTGTTGCAGCTATGCTCAGATAACCGCCTGTTCCTTGCAAATACTAACTTTAAGCATAAGGAAAAACATCTTTTAACATGGCGACCCCCTAATTCGTCCCAACGTTAATTTATTGTCGGGGACACGTTAGATTCCCAGAACTCACTTGGAAAAGGTCCTAATTTTGTAATTTTATTTAGAAAATTTGAATTTCTTTGTTTTCTCGAAAAAAGCGCTCTTTTCACCTTCGTGTCGTATTTCCCACTCTGAAGAATCTTAAACGCTATTGGTTCGTTGTGTCTTTTAGTATGCTATTTTGTAACCCTTCCCAAGGACGGTTTTGTGCTGTGCTTATATGTTTTGATTTGTATCTGTTGTTATCGCTCGTGCTTCTGGATTTTTGCGAAATATACTTCCCCGTTCGGACTTCGACTTCTTTATGTAGTTAGCGGGGCTGGGACGCAATAGAATAGCTAGGTTACTGGTCTTTGGTTACAAGTCTTTGTTCAGTTCACAGACTAAGTGAACTGGTAACCACTTCAAACCTAGCATATTACAGTCTAAGAGTGAATAAGTCGTATTCCAATTGGTCAATAAATTACGTGACTTAGAGTCACAACACTATATTATCCATTGTGATACATAACTTTAAAAAAGGTATCTTCTTATTAAATTCATACAATAAAAACTATCATTCATATTGAAAGTTCTATTGTAGAGATACTTCCAAAAGAGATGAATGATTTTATCACATATCTGAGCATTAAAATATATTCTATAATAATGAAGAGAATAAAATGGGTGGAATGAGTTATTTGCTTATGAATAGAAGAATAAAAGCTAATGGATTTTTTAAAAAACTTCTTTTAATTATCTTAAGCTTTCTATGAAAACTGATTAAGAAATTAAGCTATTGACTTAAGGGAATAATTGAAGCAATTCACACAGGATGTACAAATGTCAACAAGAGATATCAATGGGAAAATTCAATACAAACATAAACAATACAAAAATGAATAAACACTTCATCCCATTACATAAGATAGTAACTATCTAGGTTTAGTAACTGGGTAGGTAAAGAGATGGCGTTCGAAGCGAACGTTACTAGGGTCGAGTCCTATAGTGAACATCAACTCAAGGGATGCAAGCACATCTAGCTGATGAGTCCCAATTAAGACGAGATATGTGTCCTTGATTCCATTGTTAGCCACCAATTTTATTCATATAAATAGAAATTATTGTACATTATTTTTGTGTTCACAGTCACATACTCTTCAAGAGTATGAAAAATGTTAAAATATTAAAAAGTACACTTAAATACAAGATAAATAAAGCAAATAATTCAAATGTAGTGACCTATAAAGGTTGAGTAGAGTAGTGACCTTGATGATCCAATCAAATAAAAGTAAAATAAATATTTAAAACAAAAAATCACTGGACCAATCAGAAAACAATTTAAACAACGATTTAATTGAACTCTTAATTTGTTCATTATTAAAATTTAAAGTATCATGAATTAAGAATAAGATGAGAATAATATAGTGACTTAGCTTCGTTGTTAATCCAGCAATTTGATATTAACACCATTGGATGTCAGCTCAGTGGTCCAGTAGGTTAAGCGTTCGAGCGCGAGACTGAAGGCCCTGGGTTCAAATCCTGCGAGCGAGATAGTGGATGCGCACTGCTGAGAAGTCTCACAATAGGACGAAACGGCCGTCTAGTGCTTCCAGGTTTTCAATGGTGGTCTAACATCAATTGGTTCATGATCTCAATCAAAAATTTGATAACCGTTATTATATATAATTTATAACAGTGTATGAATTCAAAGGGCAATAAGAAGCGGTGACTACAATTTATTAGTGGATAGTAAAGATAACAAAGTTACAAGTACAACGAGTAAATTTGGAGAAGAGTGGCTAATTTGTGTAAGTGAGAGAATACACAGGTGAGTTTGTAGTCAAATCGAACCAGGGGGGAATGAAATAAGGCAAAGGCAACTAATGGGATTCGAGCGCATACATAAGAAAGAGAATGATTCATTGAGTAATATTTAAGCGATCTAAAGAGAGGGAGAGAGAGAGAGAGTTATGTGCGTAGGCTGTTACATGTGATCATAATAAATATGAAGAAATAGACGAACTGTTACTGTTCGAAGAACATTGTCTATTAAATACGTTAATAAAATGGCTTAACCTAAAATTAACCATAATCGAAATTAATCGTAGGAGTGTTGTTATAATTGTGTAAAACTTTAATCATTTCAAGTCAATGTTAAGTTAAACAAAAAAAGAACAAACTTATTGTGAATAGATTATCAAGATTAGAAGAAGAAACTGATTTATAAGTTAGGATTACTTGTTTATGGAATATTTATAGGTCACACATGTTTCAACATTTTATACATTATATTGTATGATTTATTACATTACAACATCCCGTTTATTCAAAGCAAGAAAATATATTAACTACTTCAGAGACTCCTCTTGAACGCTACATCAGTCAGTATCATGTAACAGATTTTAAGCTTCTGGAAAGTGTAAGTACGTAAATTATTGGATTAACTGATTTCAGTCAACATATTATTACTAGACTCTAGTTTCTTGTTTATGTTATCGTCTAAGAATATCTTACTAGCTCTATTCCCAAGACCTTTATCTATCTTTCTTATTGAATTTCTTATTTAGTTAAAATCAAAAATCTTATTTAAATATCGGAATAGTTTGGAAATAAGTAATCTGTGAAATTTGAGTGACTAGCATTGCAATTCATTCCAGATGAGAAAAAAATAGACATTTCGACAATCACCAATTATGTGTCTAATAACTCACAGAAAAGATGCTGTGACTATGAAATCCAATGATGTTAGAATTAAGTCATTCATTACTGATGATATTGGATAATCATAGAGTTATATCACAATGTGACTAAAGTTTAACCTGGAAACTATTAGATGCCAAATAAGCGGCCTAAAGGTAACATACTCTTCAAGAAGCTCAAAAGTCGTGTGCTCTATCTTTTACGATGTTTTCGATGCGCTCGAAAGTTAATGGATATTACTTTCCTAATTCAATGATGGTTGGACATGAATCATGATCCCAAGTATCTTGTCGGAAGAGATAAATTCTTCCTTGTGATAAATATCTACCAAATTCATATTTGAATCTTTTTGAAAAATATATAATTGTTATCACTATTTACAACACTTGATAGAAACTGATATGTTTATTACATAAGCTACTTATCAGTTAATTTCAGTAGACTAAAATATGTAGAAAAAATTGCATATGAATTTTAGAGAACTATGTACAAATTATATGTAAAACGTCAATACCTCAAAACAGTGACTTCGTTTAGCTTGTTCAAGCATTGCTTCCATGGCAGGCAAAAGTATAGGAAATATGAAACGTTTTAAATATTCTCTTGGAGTACCTATTAGAAAGGGAAAAATAAATAAAAACAGGTTTTCCATGGTTGTCTAGCTTCAATTGACTCATGGTCTCAACCATTGAAGTTACTACAATATCTACAAACCCCCTTCTGACATTTGTGTTTATTGATAAAATGACATCCCGTACATTACTAACGCCTTCTTTCATAAATAATGTAATACATTCATGTGTTTTAAAAGTCATTTCCTGTCTGAACGAATCGATTTATTCTTAGCTACCAGAGTATATTTGAATATTCGGAGACTCTTCTATCCTTAATTTGCAAGCAATAGAAAGACTCTACTGAGTTTACTCTTATAAGTTAAATTATATCATTATTCTATGACAAGACTAAACTGTTAATAATTCGATGTGTAGTCTAATGTGTTGTAATATTACTAGCAATATTAATTCTTTTAATAGCGATTTCGATTATTGTTGCTAGAAATAATTGTGATATACATTGCATACTTCATTATCATCATCACCATTACTGATCATTATGACCTGACAGATTGGTTGCCTTTGAGAAAAAGCATGTCACATTACAAACAGTTTCATTAACATGTTGTAGAAGTCATAGTTACCCGTAGCGTTTATAATGTGAACGTATAACACTAGGCAGTTAGTCATTAATGAAATTGGAATCATTACAAATATGCACCAGTTCGAGCTTAAATATACTTATAATTAACGCAGAGAGGTTAATTTAATAAAAAGTCTAGTGGAAGGAAAACGAGGCAACGTTAGTGTATGCGATTTAACAAATACTTATTTTATAGAATATGGTTCATAAAAGGAAGGAAGTGTGGTCAAACTGTAACACTTAAGAAAGATAAAGAATAAATGGATCTCAGCTACCGTGATTGATTTTATGTCTTGCTGATCAAGAGTCACATTGCTGACTAGGAATTCTTCAACTTCCGACAAGGTTTAAACCAAGAGTCAACAACTTTGTGGCCTAATGACATATTACGGTTTGGTTACCACTAACCTATGAAATAAAAGCGTTTGCAATGATAGCAAATTTTGCAGTAATCATTATCACCATCATTCTCATTATCATCGCGTTATGATCTCTAATCGATAAAACCACAAAATGTTTTCATTATGGATACAAAATGTTCTGAAGTTCATAAAATTATTGATATATTTAGTTTGTGTAGTTTTTATTTTCAGTCTGTCATTGTATCAATCAAGTTCGAGTGATTTGTATGTTTGTCTTAATAACTGAATCAGAAATATGCGTGACTGTAATTATCTGAGTGGATAAAGTTATAACAGATAACTCGTTACTGATTTATTTATTTCTGTCTTAATTACTCTTGAATAAGATAAGAGAATGACATAGATATAAATTAATCTAACAAAACTAGCCATCATAGTGTAACGAAAACGTTTCGATGTATATGCTGTCGATTATGCTAAAATCCTGACCCCTCCCAATGATTTCACAACATTTTCAAAATATGCGTTTTATAAACAAATATGACTGACTTTTTAAGCAAAGATAGATGGTGGCTAGCAATGGAAACCAGGACGCGCGATTCGTCCTATTTGGATGTACCTGCATCCCCGAGTTGATGTTCGCCCTGTGACTCGAACCCAGTATCTATCCCCCCAATCACCATTGGGTTATCCACTTAGCTACTGAGTCCTGATAGCCACATGCTCGTGCAATGGAGTGAGGTTTAAATTCACTTGTTGTTGTTTTACTTGCATCTTCCTATTGTTATTTAGGACTGCAACTGATCAGTCTCTTGTTAGCATATGTGCAACTCTGGGATGCAGGGGTAGTGAACAAGAACACGACTGGGGACAATGGAACGTGTTTGACACAAACTTACAGAACTTGTTATTAAAATCTAATAACCATATAGTAAATGCTCAATTTGCAAAATGACCATCATTTGTCTCAAAATGATTTAGACTTCATTGTTCTTGCATTTTTATACAAATTGCGTTCAGTTTTCATTCTTGACTGTTCGATCCTCTTGTCTCTTTGCTGCCAGACATTCTGTTTCTGACTAACGTCATATACTACTTAGGTCGATAAAAGCAGCACGCACCACACAGGTACATCCAGCTGACGAGCCCCAAATAGGACGAAACGCGCGTCCTGGATTCCACTGACAACCACTAGCCATCTTTGCTTATAAAGCTTGTGACTAAAGGCTATATCGAGGCAATCCGTACAGTATGCACATATGTTAACATGAGGCTGATCAATTGCAGTCCTAAATAACAATAAGAAGATACAAGTAAAACAACACTAAGTGAAATATGACTGATCAACTTACATTTCTTTGCATAGTCTGAGTTTGGCTTCAATAATGCACCATCCATAGATGTATGTTGATAATCGTCACATGAATTTTCTGGTGATAATTTGAAGGACTTTATTTAATTCTGTTCTCATTTACAATATTGAGTATTACTTGAAGAGTTTGAAATGAATCAGAGCTTAAAGTTGTATTTTTGTAGACTTCTTCGGGGATTAAACCATATTTTTCTAATTGAGAATCTAAAACAGAATTTGAGATAATTTTTTTGAAATCAATAATTTACTGTTAATACTCATTTAAAATAAAGATCACTTTGCACGTTAATGGTCTGTAAAGCAAGGCTGTAACTGGTTATGGACGTCATCAAACATTCTAAATTCTTATTTAAAGAAACATCAAGCTGATATGCTGAAGCGGATATGTGTTACCATGCACAGACATGCTAATACAAAGATTTGAAACCCCTAATACAAATGAAGAAACTAAAGTTATTATAACATCTCACAATGTGGAAATGAGGAATCGGTAAAAAACAAGTTTCAATCTTAACACAAGTGGTTTTACTAAACGAATAAAAAAGAAACTAGCTATTATAATAAATATCTCTACTGTAAAGACCTAATGCCATTCTTGTCCTGAAATTATTCTTGATTAGTGTTATTTCAAGAAATTTGATCAATGGTACTTAGCTTCTTTGAACTGACCAAAATTGTTGTCACTGACTACTTCGGATGATATCTTGTTACGATAAGTTGTTAATGGGGTCAGATCTATCGTCTTTCTACCAGATTTATCACAATGTATATCTAGAAGAAAGAAAGAAATATTTGGGTGCCAGCTAAAAAATAGAGCTCGATCATTTTCGACCAAGAACTCTGGCCAGAACTTCTACTTTGAACAAAAACAATAAATATGCCAATAATACTGATATAACAAACAACAAATGAAATAGGAAAACAAGAACGCTGAGGAACTGATAAGAATTTCACTTTGACCGTTTGTCTAGAAGTTCGCAAGTGTAGAAGTAATGCAGCATTATAAATTGGTCAAAAACCAACTATATGTAATGATCTTTAGTTCTGGGAGGTCTTAACTAGCCTACACTACTTATTATTTATTTGCGTAAAGCGGATCACTGAATCATTATCTTGATCGAAAAGCAAAATCCCTTCACTTTAGAGAAGAATACGAAAACAATAAGCTATGGACATCTGCTTCAGAAGCTGTTATCCAGGATAATGCACTTAAGACATTGAGTGATTCAGATGCAACGAAACCAACAGCACCAGGATAGTTAATATTAATGTCGGCCATATAAACTGGAATATTCATGGACTATTCCTAACAGTGATATTCAGATTGTCACTGTACCGATGACCGTTACTTCTACATTGAAAGGATGGTATGTAGTCATCTTTACCCACAAGACCGTACCTAAATAGCACTCATTTCCGATCAGCCTTACAAAGACAGTTTCCAAGACTTGACGAAATTAGTTGAAACGTTATTATACTTTTTGAAACTTGTAGCGCTTTAAAGAACAGATTATGCAGCTTAAAGTGTACACTTCTATGTACGACAAACCAGTAAATAGTATGACAGAGCTGACCAGCTCATTCGAATAAAGTTTACAGATGACAAAAGTTCTGGATGAGTGAGTATAATGAAAAGCATGTAAGTTTAAAATCCTCGTACTTTGACAATACTTTCCATTCCTTACCTGGAGAGCAATACACTTTGATGTATCGAGTATTACAACACAAGAATCGTGGTTGTTTATTCCTCAAGCAAAAAGTCATTAATACCATAGAACGGATCCGCCATATCATGAGAATGGAGTATTTGTTATGAAAAACACGGAAATATATGCCAGTATTTTCCAAGAACAAAACAAAAAACGAAACTTAGGTGTGTTTTGCTGAAAGTATTTCCTGAGCCAAGTGACATCACTTAACTTGAAGCGACTATCGTGACATGAAAACTTAACTAACTACTATTATTAATTTCAATACAACTAACCTGATAATATGTTATTCCATAATGTGGCCTTCGACATCTTTTTGTAATTGTCATTACACTGTTGCCTTAATAATGTAAGAATATGACCCATTTAAACAAATCATTATAACTTGAATTTTGTTCGTTCTCTTAGTTCTGGGTGAGTCTATGACACTCGCACTTTTTGAAACTTAATTTGGGTTGAAATAGGTGGTTATTTTATATGTAGGTTGGTTGCAACAGAGAATCTGAAATATAAAGATTCGTGTAGTAAGTACAGAAGGCCTACGGCCCATGTTACGCCTTTTCTAGTATGCTCCAGTCTTCTCTTGAATGAGTCAATTGAAGGTGCCGACACCACGGCCTCGGGTAACATGCTCCAAGTATTGATGACTTGATGTGAAAACCTGTATGCCACGGGTACTTTGTTCGTAATTGTTAGGTCCAAAATCATATATCAGTATTCTGTACGTTAAAACCAGATCTCTTCGCAGTCTGCGATGGGACGTAGTGAAGAGATCCAGCTTTTCAAGCCCCTTTTTGTATGGTAAACCCCGAAGTTATGGAAATACACGGGTAGCTGCCCTCTATACTTTTTCTAGGATATCCGAGTCACCTTTTAGACGGGGGCTTGCAGCCTGAACGCAGTGCTCAAGCTTAGTTCTCACTAAGAATGTGTATATTGTGATGAACACGGTAGTATCTAACTTAGTGAATGCCCGTTTTAAAGCCCAGAGTGTTCGAAACCCCTTAGCTGCAACCTCCCGGCAATGGACTGTCGTCTTGAGATCATGACTCACTGTCACCCCTAGATCCTTATGAGACCGAACGACAAGAACTGGCACTTCCTCTATGCTGCACCTATTAACCTTTGAATCCCCAAAATGCATGCAGACACACTTTGCCGTGTTGATAGGCATCAGCCACTCTTTAGACCAGTTAATCATATCATTTAAGTCTACCTGAAGAGCACATACGTCTGTGTCTCAAGTTATTACTTGCCAGATTTTTACATCGCCAGCGTGTAACAACATTGGGGACTGTACTATACTTGAGAGATCATTTGCATACATTATAAAAAGTAATGGACCTAGGACGAAACTTCGAGGTACTCCACTAAGTACTGGAGCACTTCTAATTTATTATTACTTTCTGTCTACGACCCTTTAGTACCGACCCATCACATAACAACGGCTCCCATGTATAACAACAGTCGCAACTCCTCCCAGTTACGCGTAGCAGACCCCGCTCGCGCTAACGTAAATAGCCATAACAGGGGCTACGAGTCTAACCATCAAGACTATTTTGTAAATAACCATACACTTCACAGTAGGCCTGTACAAGACTTTTTGGAATAAGACCCCTAGTGACACCTCTGTTGAAGCATATAGCCCAGGTTATTTCAAACCACATGCAAACCACAAATTTGTTTCCGCCATACAGTTTCCATCACAGAGTACTCCCACCCTTTCCTCCTGGGTAAACTCCCCAATCAACTTCATCAGCTCATTTGATACACCTCCCAATAAGTTTAACTATCAAAATACCGAGCTAATGAAGAACATCCAATCCCTCACATCAAACTCATCTTACACTCGCGAGGGTTACGACGACTTTATCCGAAAAACCCTCACCCATTTTAACTTAGTAGGCCACTTGCTTAATATATGTCTTATCAACGCTCGATCGATCTGCAACAAAAAGACGGATTTAGCCCTGTTTGTATCCATATATCAACCATCAGTTATTATGATATCTGAAGCATGGACTAACAGTAATATTTCCGACCGAAGCATATCTCTAGATAACTATTCCCTATATAGAAGCGATAGATTGAATGGACGAGGCGGAGGATGCCTTATTTACGCTCACTCTAGCCTGAACTCACTGCTATGTGATATGCCTGAACTAAACAAACTGAAGGATTCGGTGTGGATTGTATTAAAGCCGTCGAATTCCGTTACCTTACTGCTCGGCTGTGTTTATCGTCAACCTAACACATCAATAGATGAAATAGCAGTATTATCGGAGGTATTCACCCTAGCATCATCCCTCTCATTCACAGGCAAGCTCATTTGTGGTGACTTCAATATGCCCGAAATTTCTTGGCTGCCAGTCAAAGCGCCGAGACGTTATGAATCATTTATTGAATGTCTAGAACTTGGACAATGGACTCAGTATGTCGATAGCCCTACCAGACATCAAAACATCTTAGACTTAGTCTTTACCAGTGGCCTCATCCCCAATACTTTGTATATTGGAAAAAAGTTCCCAGGTAGTGATCATAACATTGTCATATGCAGCCTTAATGTAAAAACCACAACCGATAGAAGTAAAACCGTAACACTTCGTAGAAACTATCGCAAGGTTGATTGGAATAACTTCCACAATTACCTAAGAAGCACTAATTGGAGAACTTTCTTTACCTCAAACAATACCGACACATTAACCAATATATTTTATCACAACATCAAAAGTATCATCAACAACATCGCACCTTTAGAATACTGCAAACCTACGTTCTCCAAAGATCTCTATATACCGGTCAGTACAAGAAGACGTCTTCAAAGACATTGTACTCGATTCCACAACTTAAATGACTTTTCCTCTTTAGTAACGATGACAGAAATACTTGTCCGAACAGAGGCAATAACTAAACAAAAAGCAGTAGCACAGGAAAAACGTGCAGTCGAACTTAATAATAACTCCTCTGCACTCACCATACTACTCCAAAATAAACTTAAACGCTCTAAATCGAGAGGGAGTATATTCATTAAAGGCAAACAAGTATACGAAGATCCCAAACTTATCACAGAATTATTCAGTGAACATTTTTGTTTCTTACTAACTAACGAAAAACCATTTAATGATTCAGAACCAATCCCAGTAACTCCCTGTGAAATTACTAATGTAGAATTCAGTGTACAAAATATCTCCAAAGCAATCAGTACATTGAAACACTCCTACACTGATGGACCAGATGGTATTCCATCTAGCATGCTAAAACGTGGAGGTGATGACATGTGTGTTTTGCTTCTCAAACTATTCGCGATATCACTCTCTTCAGCGTGTTACCCTACTGCCTGGAAAACTACACATATCATTCCTAAAATTAAAACAGGACCTGAAGCAAACGTTGAAAATTACCGGCCTATAAACATAACTTCAGTGGTATCCAGAGTGATGGAAAAAGTAGTTAAGGCGGCTGTAGTCCAACATCTATTAACTAACAATCTCTTGTCGACCTCCCAGCATGGATTTCTTAGGTCCAGATCATGCGATACATGCCTAGTAGACTACCTGAATGATATAACTCTGAAACGAGACAGCGGACTCCTTGTATCAGTCCTATTCCTAGACTTTAAGAAAGCCTTTGATAAGGTCCCACACAAAAGGCTACTCGTCAAACTAAAGTCCTTCGGAATACACAACCCACTGTACTCATGGTTTCCTTCGTTCTTAACAGAACGTAAACAGATGGTAAAGTACAATGACTGTCTCTCGTCCCCTAGACCAATCACCAGTGGAGTCATCCAGGGAAGCGTATTAGGGCCACTTTTGTTTCTTATGTATATAAACGATATATGTAACACCATAGAATTCGGGAAACCGTACTTATATGCTGATGATCTCAAAATAGTATACAGCTATAAGCCTGAGACACTAAGCGAAAGTGTATCCCAGATCCAAAAGGACCTCAATAACTTAACTATATGGAGTGAAAAATGGCAATTACCATTTAACCTCAACAAGTGAGGGATCATGCACTTTGGAAAGCATCCCTATAAACCGCGACTTCACTTAAATGAATGTATAGTCCAAACACTCGAATCAGTACACGATTTAGGAATTAATTACACAGGAAGCCTAAACTTTGAAGAACATGCCACCTCCATTATTTCTAAATCTAGACGGCTAATTGGTTTTATAATGAAAAACTTTTTCACAACAGAGGGTAAACTTACTCTCTACAAAATATGTGTACGACCCACCCTTGAATACTGCTCTTTTGTCTTCTCTAATATGAATATCGCAGACAAGATAAGAGTAGAAGATGTTCAAAGACGTTTCACACGTCAACTACTAGGATATAACTCGAATCTCGATTACACAGACAGATGTAAGCATCTATCTTTAGAACCTTTATGGCACCGTAGGCTAAAACACAATTTAATATTTCTCTACAAAGCGATATATGGGCTCTCCTTTCTAACCTCCTGCCCGACTATCACCCACGACCCAGCCTATAGACTTAGAAACAATGCATATACACTACTTACCGTAAAACACCAAAAACAAATGCGTTGTAAGTTCTTTACAGTACGGTACAGTTTATTGTGGAACAGGCTGCCAATGCCTATCCGTAACTGTGATATGTTTACCAGATTCAAAAAGCTAATAACCCTATTCCTAGACTCCAAAGAGCTTCAACATTACCTTGAACTCCCGCCCACCGATGAGGCACTTTATTACGGACCGGCTAGTATCTAGAAAGAACAAAATTATAACAAGTTCGACTGTTACTAATCTGAATATAACCAAATCACAGGATATATGGCTTATCCTTTCCTATTATTCATTGTTTATTAATCATGATTTCATGCCCCTAACCCTAGCTTTCAGTCCCCAAATTTCTACAGGTTAAATGTACATTATTCTTCCTAAAAGTCATGCTTTTTTTTCTACTTCAAGTAGACAGATAGCTCAATCTTATGGATGCTGATCTACTAAGGCCGATCATTCAAAGCTCAAAATTTGGCCACAAAGTCTTGTGAGTTTCTCAATGTTTTATTTTTCTCACCCTAAAATCCTTCTCTTTTTTTCTACAATTTTATACCCTCTCATATCTTTTGATTTACTATTAATCCTTACTTCTTTAAACCATTAGTTATTTTCATAGCAGTGTGATATACTATATGGACATCTAACCCATAAAACAGACTTTTCAACTATCTGATTTGCTTGTAACATGGACCTAGTAGAGACAGTGTATTCCAACTATGTGCTTTGATTAAAGCATTAATCATACTTACCACAAACGTAAGAGAGCCTAACATC